TTTTGGAATGTTTGTGATTTTTGGGAAGAAAATTAACGCGAGACGGTGCCTGGGGTGGCCACGAGGGTGGGGCCCACGACCACTACAGGCAGGCGCGCCCCCACCCTCGTGGGCCCCTCGTAAGGCGGTTGATGCTCTACTTTGGCCGCAAGAAAGCTAATTTTTGGAAAAATATCTAGGCGAAGGTTTCAACCCAATCGGAGTTACGGATCTCCGGATATAAAAGAAACGGTGAAAGGGCAGTAGAACAGAACACAAAAACAGAGAGAGACAAAGAGACAGATCCAATCCCGGAGGGGCTCTCGCCCTTCCCATGCCATGGAGTCCAAGGACCAGAGGGGAAACCCTTCTCCCATCTAGGGAGGAGGTCAAGTAAGAAGAAGACGAAGGCCCCCCCTCTCCCCTTCTCTTCCTGTGGCGCCGGAATGCTGTTGTGGCCATCATCATCATCACCGCGATCTACACCAACATCTCCGCCATCTTCACTAACATCTCCATCACCTTCCCCCCTCTATCTACAACGGTCCACTCTCCCGCAACCCGTTGTACCCTCTACTTGAACATGGTGCTTTATGCTTCATATTATTATCCAATGATGTGTTGCCATCCTATGATGTCTGAGTAGATTTTCGTTGTCCTATTGGTGGTTGATGAATTGCTATGATTGATTTAATTTGCTTGTGGTTATGTTGCTGTACTTTGGTGCCCATCATATGAGCGCGCGCGTGGATCACACCATAGGGTTAGTTGTATGTTGATAGGACTATGTATTGGAGGGCAAGGATGACAGAAACTTCAGCCTAGCATAGAAATTGATGCATACGGGATTGAAGGGGGACCAATTTATCTTAATGCTATGGTTGGGTTTTACCTTAATGAACATTAGTAGTTGCGGATGCTTGCTAATAGTTCCAATCATAAGTGCAAAGAATTCCAAGTCAGGGATGTCATGCTAGCAGTGGCCTCTCTCACATAATACTTGCTATCGGTCTAGTAAAGTAGTCAATTGCCTTGGGGCAATTTCGCAACTCCTACCACCACTTTTCCACACTCGCTATATTTACTTTATTGCTTCTTTACTTACAACAGCCCCTACTTTTTATTTACTTGCTCTTTATTATCTTGCAAACCTATCCAACGACACCTACAAGGTACTTCTAGTTTCATACTTGTTCTAGGTAAAGCGAACATCAAGCGTGCGTAGAGTTGTATTAGTGGTCGATAGAACTTGAGGGAATATTTGTTCTGCCTTTAGCTCCTCGTTGGGTTCGACACTCTTACTTATCGAAAACTGTTGCGATCCCCTATACTTGTGGGTTATCACAGGTATCATTGCTATTAAGGGTAACAATATGGGGTTTATTCATACGTGAGTTTATATTGTCTACATCATGTTATCGTTCTTATTGCATTACTCCATTTTTCCATGAACTTAATACACTAGATGCATGCTGGATAGCGGTCGATGTGTGGAGTAATAGTTGTAGATGCAAGCAGGAGTCAGTCTACTAATCTTGGACGTGATGCCTATATACATGATCATTGCCTTGGATATCGTCATCATTATTTGCTTTTCTATCAGTTGCCCAACAGTAATTCGTTTACTCATTGTATGCTATTTTCTCGAGAGAAGCCTCTAGTGAAAACTATGGCCCCTGGGTCTATTTCCTATCATATTACTTTGCTGCAATTTTTATTTATTTATTTTATTTTGTATTTTTGTTAGATCTATTTATCAAAACCTATACAATTTAATCTATCTCAATACCGTTGAGGGATTGACAACCCCTCTTACGCTTGTATTTGTTGTTTGTGTGCAGGTGCTATTTACATAGTGTTGTTTGCTTCTCCTACTGGATTGATAACCTTGCTTTCATAACTGAGGGAAATACTTACCTCTGCTGTGCTGCATCATCCTCTCCTCTTCGGAGAAATACCAACACAGAATACAAGCATAAGTGGGTTGCATGTGACCTCCTATAGATGAGCCACGTTCGAACTGGTCATGGGGCAATGATGATGAGGCGTCTGGAGGGGGATGGCCGATGCAGAGCTCCTCACACGTGAAGGGGAGCTTTGCAGCTGACACGATAGGGGGATGCAAACATGAAATGTGGTGGGTGTCGCGTCATGGGTGACTGTAGCCGATCTGCCATTGTTGAAGCAAGCAATAAAGCATCGATTCTTGGAAGCCATTAATGCATTAATGGCAGCTGAATGCTGTGAACAAATGGAGGTATGTTACTCTTCGCTGCCTACACATTCACATGCCTATATATGATTTGTGGGTCCACATAATGGACTTCTGATGTCACTGCTGCCACTATCTCGGTCTCCTCTTCCCCGGGTAAGTATGATTCTCCGCCACACGCTATTCTTGGTCACCTTCTCTTCACCACGCCTCGCTGGTGTCGCCCTTGTCTACCACCAACCGCCTTCCATGTCACTGCTTTTTGCCGTGGGAATGGTAGCAGTGGTGGCAATTGGCTCGAGGTTAAGTCCACCTTCCGTCCCGCACGAACACAGACCGTGGGAGCGCACGAGTCTTTACTTGGCGGTGCCATGTATCCCCTCTCAGGCAAGCGTCAGAGTCATTCCGCCGCGAGCATCACCATGAGGAACATGCGATGTTGTCGTTGCTTTCACTCTCTATCCATGAAAATGTCGAGCAACCACCTTCTCCCCTAATTACGCATAGTTATTACATGTTGAGCGTCACATCTGTAAGGAGCGGAGAGGATGAGCTACGTGCTTTCATGCATATCATGTTTAGATATTGCTTTTCATGTCATCTATCTTAACTTTGATTGAAAGTAGACATGCTCTAACGTGGATGACTCATTTTCATGACGTTTATACATACTTCAACCTTTTTATATGGCATGTTAGATATCGCCTCACTAATTCCCAAATACCTCTTGTCCTATTATATGCATGTACTCAATATGGCTGAGTAGTGCAATGGTTTTCAAATTTGTACAATCTTTTTTTTCTGCGGTAGAAATTGTACAATCTAAAGTTTAGCAAAAAAGATATACTATGTTTCGACTCTTTATTTACATACATTACTTATGAAAGAAATCTACTATACTCGTAAAAATGAACGGACAGGGCAACGTGTGGCATCAACGGTTTAGCTCTTCACTATCACTTACCATGAACTCATGTATATCAAGCAAAATTCTCCCAATTTTAGTTGAATTCCATAAACATGCTTGGTAACTTCAACAAATGTGGGACCCTCTAGTTGCAATTATAGCTCAAAACGCTTTAATTTTCTGACAGAAGCGTGTGGCGGCGAGACATGACAACTCACTATACTACAGACTACATCGAATAAAGTTGGCTCAGGGCAACCCCAGAGCCTTAAAGGTGTGGATCGGTGTCTCCTCGTGTCATGTGGGTGAGAATTCTCCAGTGACCATGAGCATGTGTTTTTTGAGTCGATCGAGAATGCCCAAAGCAAAAAACAATAAGGTAGAGAGACATATGGCAAGGGAAAAAGATAATAGAAATAACATGAAACAAATTGAGTATTGTTCATGCAAGCATGTTACTTAGAATATCAACATTTCTGTGATATCAGTCACATATGCTAATATCTATATGTTTGAGCCAACGTCACATAGTAATAGTGCGCACTACTAGGGGGGATGGAGTGGGCGCGGGGCTGCAGCCTGCAGCAGGGATGCACGTGATGCTTATATACCTGGTAAGTGTCAAACCAATATCTAATGCAACTTTGCTTCAACAAAATTTCTATCGTCTTAGCACATTTTTGCATCTCAACTCGTAGTTTGCACTATGGGGTGCTAGAACTATTATAGTACAAATCATATTATTACAAGCGACCCACTAATAATTTGTTGAAAACATATTAATTCTAAAAGTATGAACATCGGCGAACCAACCTGTGGTTAGATGGTTAGAGAAACAGTGATATCTCTAGCCAACCAATGTCCAAGTCCTGATGCTCGCATTTATTTCTGGATTTCCGGCGATGCGTTTTCAGTAGGAGGAGATTTTCCCATCGACGACGAGGCGCATACGGTGACTTTGTAAATCTCAAGATGATATGCCGGCTCGATCTCTCAGAGATATTTATAGGGGTAGGATGTGTGTATCTAGTTCATAGGGGCGAGTGTATGAGCGCTTACGTCTGTTGTTCAAGAAAAATAATATAAACATAGAAAACCTGAAATGGAACCCGTGAAACTTGGTCGTAAGAAGCACAAGAATGTGTCTATTTCAAAATAAAAAGAACAACAATTAAATGTTGTGGGATACATAGAATTCCGTGAGATTATCAAGAAAATTCTTCCATCGGAGGGCCGAAAGAGAGCTGCTACACAGCCGACGGGTTCTGAACGATCTTGAGACGACGCAGCACATCTCGCCATCGATGCGTAAAGCAAAAATGAACAGGACCATTCAATTCTTCAATCGTCCGGAGTTCGGCCAGCAACTGTCGTGTGTACAGTAATTCCGGGGCCGAAAACGCATTCAACTTTGAGCGTAGACCAATGATGAAGGCGGATCTCAGGCCGCACTGTCCAAACTCCAAAGCAGGGGAAGCCAAAGCTACCGTACCGTCCAACCAGTCACCAGGAGTCATCTGCCACTAGTCCATGACAACTGGGCCACGATGTACCTCGGGCCCACAAGTCATTGACTGTTCATCCAAACCACGCTCCCGAGCCGCGGGTGTGCAGCGCACCGAACAGCCACCGGGAGAACACTTCCGTTTCTGACACACCCCCACCAACCCCCGTCGCATCGCCGTCGCGACGGCGCTCCTACAAATTCACCGACCATGTCGGCCTCCTGACCCGCCGCCATCCCGGATCCCGATGCCCCAGGCCCGAATTCCAACAACCACCGCCCGCTCCACTTCGTCCCTAGCTCGAAGCCTACGACCGGGGGCGCAGGGCCAAACCCTGCCCTAGGGTTTGGGTTTCGAGCCGGATCGATCCGGCCAGGGTTCGGCGGAGCGGCTTTCAATGGGGGATCGGGACGAGGAGGAGGAGCTCCAGATGGCGCTCCGCATGAGCCTCCACGGCTCGCCGCCGGCGCAGCCCGAGCCCAAGCGCAGCAAGCCCCCATCGCCCGCCGGGGAGTCGCCTGAGGCGGAGGCGCGCCGCAAGCAGCGCGAGCTCATGGCGGCCGCCGCCGAGAAGCGCCTCCGCTCCGTGGCCCCGCCTGCCGCCGTCGCCCCGCCCGTCGCCGTCGCCCCGCTTTCCGCCGTCGTGGTGCCGCCGCCGTCCCAGCCGACGGCCGTGGTGGCGGAGCAAACTTCCGCCCCGGAGGACGTGAAGGTGGAGTCGGAATCAACCGTGGTACCTATGGAGGATGTGAAGGAGGCGGAGGTGGAGTTGGAGGTTGATGTGGGAGAGGAGGAGAAAGGGGAGGAGTTGCATCCGGAGCTCGCCGAGAAGCTCTGGCTCATGGTGTTTGGGAGCGGGGTTTCAAAGGCAGTGCTGGCGCAGTGGAGCAATCAGGGTATCAGGTGAGCTTTTGTTTGGTACTTCAGTCTCATTAATATATGTACATGGGTGAAAAACAGATGCATACTTTGATTTCTGGAGCACTTACCGATTCACCGAAATAGAAATCTGGCATTAACGTGTGATTCCTGAATAGGATATGGGATGTGTGATATAGGATGAGTGATATCCGGTTTTGTAACTCAACTATTCGGATAATATAATCTATGATATCCGGGACAAACTAACTTGCTCAGCCTATAGATCTTAGCCCACTGCTCATATCCCGCCTTTTTGAAGGCCTGACCCATTGCTTGTGTGGCTATCAACCTTGCTGATGCTGTACTTTACCTATTTTTCTTGGAAAGGCACCTTTGGTAGGTTAATTTCACATTGTCTTGCACGGTACATGTCATCCAGTGTCATTGTACAACAAGTGGAAACCATATATTTACGAGTTAATTTGCCTTGTTGAATTATTGATGCAGTTGCATTTTGGAAATGGTATGGTTGATTGATCTTTATATTGCCATATAAATGGTTTATGTTTTATACAGTTCTTATTTGATTAACTTTCGTGCCCGGCAATATTTGCATTTGTACTCATATCGGGCACGACACGTGTCCAACTCTGACTCCCACGGAAAAAATGTGGTTTAGGGTACGAAATGAGCGATATCTGTCCATATCCGCTCTGGTTTCACCTCCCATATCTGTAAGATGATGGCCTTTCGTGACTTCGTTGCTTTCATTGTCTAAGTAGACACGTGTTGCTTTCATTGTCTAAGTTTCTGTTCTGATGGGCATGGTGATGGGCACCTAGAAATTAGCGTTAGACACGTGTTTATGAGATTAGGGTTTAGTGTCCCACTGTCCCTGAATACTGGAGGATTGGGTGTCAATCAATGGTTCAATGTTCCGTGAAGACAGACTGATGTGGACATACATTGTGTATTTTAGTTGTTTCTGCGAGCGTATGATAGTCATGATTCAAAGTGATCGTACATGGTTATGTGTATCTTTGAGGATCGAATCATGGTAGGAGACTAAGAGAACAAGAGGTTGTCCTTGAGGTTACTCAGGTTGGCATCTGGGCATGCTTAACTGTACTCATTTATACTACCTCCATCCGGGTTTAAAGGGCCGGCCGACCGATTCTCCAGGACCAAGGCAGCACAGCGGTACACAAAGCAACGCGCCATAATTTGCTCCAATTATTAATGCGTTATCGTTAGCCTTCCTCCAAATTCGCCAATCAGCAAGTCTTGCGCGCAGCCGCACGGCCAGCCAACCAGCGCGCTCACATTCCTGCTCTTTCACCCGTTCCCACGTATCCCAGAACTAATGCTTGTTAATCCACGTGAATTAGCACAGCGCAATAAACACCCGGCCTAAAAATCCGGACTGTGCGCCGTGCCCCTCTGGCACTTTAAACCCGGACGGAGGTAGTAGTATACATATGAAACATTGGCATAGAATATATGGAGAACACAAATTTGGTAGTTAATAAATACTCCATGCATGGCAAAATGTAAGTTCCATAATTTTTTCTTTTCTCGTGGCAGAATAGATGTGCATGGAGATGTGTTCTCTGACTTACATTTACGTTTTGTTTCTTGTCGGTATTGTTAAGTTAAACATTGGTAGTACCTCTCCATTTTCCAACCCAATTATGAGAAACGTTCTATATATCATGGCAGTTTCAATCGCAGAAACCAGAAATTAAAGATGACACTGGTTGTGCTCTATAATTTAATATTCATGCCATACATGATACATGAGCTTCCAGTACAGTGATCTGGTGGAAGCATATTCAAGTTGGACGCGAGAAATATTGGGTTAGAGCCGGCACCGCAGCGCTGGCTGCTTGCTGGCCAGAGGGTTGGGATGTTTCACTGATTCCCTGAGGACCTTGTTTTTCTGCCTTTTTTCCTTGCCTCTGCCCGCCTGGTTGTGTGATTAGCTTTATTCCACCATTTAAATACAACGAGATGTCGCGTTTTCTCGAAAAATGGTTCACTTTCCTGTGCTCTTCCTGCTTCCTGCCAGGGTCTGGAATCCAGTTTTTACCGGTTACCAGCGGGGTTTGGTCAAATTCTGATGATTTTGGATTTCAGAATTTGAAATAAACAAAACAAAAGGTCTCATCAACCTCAATTTTTAAGTAGTTATGTTAATTCATGCTTCTTCGTATATATTATAGCTTCTTGCCGTATCCATTCTGGATGTGATCATATCAGCTACAAAATACTGCATACTTTTAATAAAGGAATTTAAATTCAAAATAAACCATCCGATTTATATTACCTTGGCACTGTCCCATTCCTGGCAGTAACTGGCCGGTACTGCCAGGAAATGGAACCCACCCTGGATAAGAACTTGTGTCAGGTTGGCATTACAAAAGATGGGCGTTTGTCATGGGTAGCTAATATCATGTCTGATGTCATCAAAGGTAACTTTGTTAGGGGTATTTGTGAAAATAAGTGCTGCTGGAGTTGCAAATATCTTCATAATTATGCGTTGGTAGTTGAGAAAAATAGTTTTGTAGTGATCAAAGGGCCTACGTGCAACAATTATAAGCCACTGCTATTTTTTTTGCCTGGGAACAGTATGGGAGAACCGTACAGCACAGAGCATCAAGCATTTCAGGTGAAACGCTGTCCTTCATGAGCTACAGTTCTGAAATGGACTTTTTTTTCTTCTAAGCTTTCTACGATTGACTTGATCAATTTTATTTTGTTTCTCTGAATCCAACTTGGATCCCATGTCTTCACTCTCCTCACATCAAAGGGGCATTTTAGTTTGAATAAGTTTTTGTGCAACTGACTTAACACGAAGTTTTAAGTATGCGTTTGGTATGTTGGTGCTCCGAGTCTGAGTTAAAAGTGTGATTATTTTGAATTATGACTCTGATTGCTGGCAAGTTCTAGCCATGAAGTAGGAAAATTTCCAGATTTGACAGTTAACAGGAATTTGCATGCCTGTGCCATTAGAAATTAACGCACACAGTTTCTTGGAAATATCGTAGCATTGATCCTACCGTACCTTTCATTGCAGTCACACAATTGAATGCTATTTTTCTAATTATTGTTAAAATGTATGCAGGTTCAGCTCTGACCCAGAAACAGCTATGGGACTGGTACAACATGAAGGTGGCCCTTGTGGTGTCTTAGCTACAGTGCAGGTACATCATTGTTGCTTTAGCTAATTGTGTTTGATTGAGTGTTATTGTGGGCATTTTTGGTGTCTAGAATTGCCCTACATGTTTCCTTGCCTTAACTGGGTGTCACTTCAGTTGGACTGCCTAAACTTGGTCAATACTATGAACCGCCAACTCAACACAGAGCTAAACTGAGGAGGGGTCAACACTGATTGGTGTATGATTAAGTAGTCATTTCAATTCACAGTTAGCCAAAAAAAGTTCCACATAGTGCTACTTAACCAAGGGAGTATACAATCGCAGGAGGGGCCAAGGCCCAGGTTGGTCTCAACCAAGCTCTGCCCCCACGCCTAAGCATCCTGTGTAGTGACCCTGATGAATTGAACAGACATGTAAGAGATAGGTTGGAGCATTCTGCCGTTACTTAAATTTCTTTCCTACTTACAAAGATTTGAGTTGGTGTTTAGTTCACTCACTCTCCATTCTACTCACACCTGGGACTAACAATCTTGCAAAAGTCACAAGTATAAATGCACTCCATACTCGCACGTGGGAGCATCGCCCTGGGAAATGGCACAAATAAATAGTTGCACACTTACTCGTATAAGTAAACAAGTATGCTCTTACTCATGTGGGACCAGCGTTCTTGTAAAAGGCACAGATTAACACACAGGATGAACCTCAAACTCCTGATGAATAGAACAGACGAGTAAGAGATAGGTTGTAGCATTCTGCCGTTACTTAAATTTCTTTCTTACTTGCAAAGATTTGAGTTGGTGGTTGAGTTCACTCCTCACTCTCCATTCTACTCACACCTGGGACTAACAATCTTGCAAAAGTCACAAGTAATAAATGCACCCCATACTCGCAAGTGGGAGAGTCGCCCTGGGAAAAGGCACAAATAAATAACTGCACACTTACTTGTATAATTAAGCAAGTATGCTTTTACTCACGTGGGACCAGCGTTTTTGTAAAAGGCACAAATTAACACATACAGGACGAACCTCAAACTCAAAACATTGCTATGGGTTTTACCTTCCAGCACTCTAACCAACCAACTCTTCACATGCTATACAGTAGCATATAGAGCAAACGATTTGACTTATTCAAACGGGATGAAAGATGCCATTGCGCTACCATCTTTCTTCCTCAATCACCTCCCATGTGTCGCCTCTCTTCCCTATGCGTATCCTTTCCCAATCTTGCAACCCTCCCGTGGTTGTTTCAGTTGCTTCAGGGCATCACTGCCTGCAACTCTTCCCTGCCATTTCGCTCTCTTTTTTCTAGCTGGATCTCGTGCAGCGATCAAATCACACGTACGCCTTTCCATTAATCTTCCATGTCGGGTGGCTAACTCAGATTTTTTGGTTTTGTAATAATGCAGAGGCACTGAGCTAGTTATGCCAAAAAACATTTAAAGCTGAGTAGCTCTACCGGTCGACCTTTTTTCTTCTTCTAGAGTTCACCTTGGTCCAATTTAAAATCCCATTTCCTGATTTTTTTTACACTAATTTATCCTGATGAACAAACCCTATCGTTGGTGGTCACAAATCTGTGCTTTTCTTAGTAAGGTCTGGTAGGACCGCTGGGGCATTCTGCTGTCACATTAAATCAGTAGAGAAGTTTGGTCACAGCTGAGCAGCTTATCTGACTTATACCTTTTGCTTGTATATAAGCCATATGATTTTTTTTTCTAATTTGTCACAGTAATGTGTTTATATACAAGATCTAACTATTTATTTTGCTATCTGTGCAATTGTTTCTGCTCTCAGCAAGCTCAACATTTCTGATGGCTACTTTCTTATGTTCTCTTTTTGCAGGCATATGTCCTTAAATATCTTCTGTTTTTCTCTGATAATTTGGGTAACCCAGAGGTCAGTGACCCGTCATTTGCTCTGGGACAAAGACGATTTTATCAGAGTTCTTTTGCTGCAAGGGATGATTTTTCTTCTCTTACCGAGGATGGAAAGACGAGGTGGTTTCTTTTGCTCCTTGAAAACCACACTGATGCCAGTGTTGTCTTTTAGCTAATTATCTATTCTGTAATTCTTCTGAACCACCGTTCTTGATTATGAAAATAAAAACATAGCAGACTGACGTGGGAGATTAACAATTTTTTAATTTAAGCCCATGACCTTTCTTAGTTAGTTCTCTATTCATGTGTTTGTGACAGATCCCTTGATTTACCAAACTAAAAGCCATATTTCAGTGAACTATTAAAAATCCATGCCATTTTATTACTTTATTGAAACAACAGAAATGCTCTAAACGTTTATTCCGTGGAGAACCTAAATGCTTCCATACCTATTATTTCCCCACGTCGTTAATATTTTAGAATTGATGATATTCTAAATGTACTATGAAACATTATATAGTTTGCAGAATTGTACTTATTATTCTTGATACTCAAACGGCTGTTTATTAATTGATTTTTTTTTACTAGAGCATTGGTTCATGCTATGGTGGAAATTCTATTTTTATGTGGAACTGGGAAAAGAGCTGTTGTTGCATTCATTGGAGGTGTCACTCGTGAGGTAAGTGGACTTGATAACAACCAGGTGCTTATAAGCTTTGAGATGCTTCAAAGTTGATTATACTTCCATATACAGCTTGCTGACAATCTCTTTTGGAACGTACAACAGAAAGTTGATGCTGCTTTGGAAGGCCTTTCTCTTGAATCGGCAATTGATTTCCAGAAAGTTCTTAGAATAAGTACGTTTACCTCAAGGAAGGATGCATTCAACATGCTTCTGGCAAACATTCCTCTGTTTCAAAGTCGACTGGGTGCCATGTTATTTCTTATCTCTTCTTTACTTTCGCGGGGACTGGTATGTCTATGTCTATGTTTTGTTGTGTGCATCATGTTTTTTTTTGCTTGCACAATTAAATAAATTGCAAATTCAGTGGTGTATTTGAACTTCAATCAATTTTGAACCAGGATTGTATCCAAGCAGATAGGGATGATCCAAGCCAACCATTGGTCACGGCTCCATTTGGGCATGCTTCTCAGGTACAGATAGCATTATCAACTCCAGTATTTTAGCACGAGTTGCTTACTGTAACACCCTGCCATTTAGTACCACACTGTCAGTTTAACTCGAGTTACACTTGCATATAAGTCTTGTTTGTGCAAGCGGTGTCTCTTCAGGTTTAACCCTTTTATGTGAAGTGAGGACAAACGTATAAACGTATAAGTAGGGTGTTTACGGATGCATGCCCACTCCATGATGAACAGGGCTGTTGGCTTCTTTGGGTCGCAGTGTATCGCACCTGACATAGCAATTCAGTGCTTACTGTAGGAATACAGTGCTGGAGTCACTTGAAAGCTATAAATATTGAACAACTTTTTATGTACTAGTACTGCCCATTATTATCAGTAATATCTATACATTACATTACAACCTAGTGTGGTCTTTTTCAGGAAATTGTAAATTTATTGCTTTGTGGAGAGGCTGTCCCAAATGTATTTGATGGCAAGATGGACCTTGGTGGCGGCATGTCCCTGAAAGGCATTCCAAATGATGTTGAAGTTGGGTTCCTTACCCTTCTGGAATCGCTAAATTTGTGCAAGGTTGGTCAGTACCTAAAGTGCCCGAAATGGCCTATATGGGTGGTGGGAAGTGAAAGTCACTACACTGTCCTTTTTGCCCTAAATCCCAACGTCCAAGAGGAGAATGAGCTGGAAGAGCGGGAATCCAAAATTAGGAGGGCATTTGATGCGCAAGACCAAAGTGGAGGTGGAGGCTTTATTGCGGTGGAGGGATTCCAGCAAGTTCTGAGGGACACCGACATAACATTTCCTTCTGACAAGCTCGACGATCTCTGTAATGCGGGCGTTATAGTATGGAGTGAGTTCTGGCAGGCACTGCTTCAGTTGGATAAAAGGGCTGGAGGCATGAAAGATCCAACTGGCCTTATGGGCAAGAAGCAATTCACTATCTACCACTTCAATGGAATTGCCAAGTCAGTGCTTAATGGGAGTGGAAACACAGGAGGAGGCTCAACTCCAATACAAAGACCTAGGATATGCAAGTTAAATGTCAGCGTCCCACCTAGGTGGACGCAGGATGAATACCTAGCTGATGTTGTAAGCTCATCGGCCAGCGGCAGCAAGAATGACAGTGTTCTTTCTCTTGCTCCACCAGTTCAGACTGCTTGTCAGCATGCGCCATTAGTGGACTGCATTAGAACTCGATGGCCACGGGCAGCTTGCAGTTGGTCTGGAGATGTGCCGAGTATCGTCTGATGCTTGAGTTCCAGTCGTATCGTTTGTTGGGCTGATTTCGAGCAGACTGCTTGGACTCCCATAGTGTTGGCCATGCCATGCAAAGTTTTGGAAGGGGCTGCTGGTGTTGTAATTGTTTAGCCTGATGAATATATGTTTTCCCCCCTTGACATGAATCCTTTTTATCGCGTCATCTTATCAGGGACATGAGTTTTCTTTTTTTCTTTTAATTGACATTAGATGTATACACCTTTTATGGATATGCTGTTAAGTCTCGAGGCACATTCTTTCCTGTACACAGATGATTTTGTTGTAGTTTATTTTATATCTGACACAGCTGATCGACTTGTTTGTTTTACATCTGACGGAGTTGTAAAAGTTCTATGATAGTGCTTACTTGTCCACCTTTTGATTTCTTATTTTCTTGCCTATAACCTTTCTTTCGTTGACCGAAAAAATGTTTCCCTTGCTTTTTTTTAACACAGACGCACATACACTCACTCGCTTATTTCAGTTGAACGTGTCCGTGTAGTTGATTTATGTATATAGTACTTGTGTCCGCTCTTTTGACGTGTTTGGTTCACACAACGGTAACGACTACGAGGCTGTTATGAGATTATTACGGTGGTACATTGGCGTAATGGATCAATCTGCAGTTTTGTTTGGGTCCAATCAGCAACGACAAGCTCAGAAAACTGCTAGAGGAGCATGCCATGGCCAGCTAAAACAGCCTTCAGCCCCTCAAGATTCGAGTGTTCTTGCTCCAAGGGCTATGTCGTCATCCACCTCTTCGTCCTCCATGGCGAGCTTGGTGGCGAGGTGTGTCATATGCAGGATAGATGAACGGGCGTGAGAATTTGTTCGGGAAGAGGAAACGAACGAGGTGGGATTTGGGAACGTGGTTGCCTATAAAAAGAAAAGAGGTTGGAATCAATTTCGTACGATATCATGGAATAAAAGCCAAATCATAAGGGTAGAAGTGAAAACAAAATGTACAACTCATTGGATGGTTATAGGAGGACAGTGGTACACCTAATCTATCAAGGATCAAACCCTAGATTTGACGTTTTTGTGTCTCATGTTATAGCGAGGCGCCAATCCCTACATCAATCATGTGTGAAATTTTGAATTGATGCACATGACTTTGCACCAAAAAAAAAAAAACACTCGGCGACCGCTCACTTTGATGTTCGTTTAGTGAGAGAAGAGTCGATCACGAGATGCTTTTGGCCATTGCATTGTGTTACAAAAATAGAAATTCAATCCATTTCGCACAAAATAGATAAATTATAACCAATCACACAGCGTAACCCTAAAAAAAATTAAATCACACATCGGCGCACGTAGGGCGTCGTTCCAACCGTCCGATTTAATGTTGGTCTGACAGATGAAGTTTCTCCGAGAAAAATAGAAGCAGCATAAGCGGTCTCTAAGGCTGGTCGTAATGATAGTATCATAGGCTGGTCGTAATGATAGTATCATAGCTAGTATCATGCATGCCAACTAGGCAATTTTGATGAGATGTCATATTATTAAATGAAGAAAGAGGTAATGGAGTATCATATCATGATACCGTATCATAATAAATACTATGCTGTTTCAATAAAAAAAATACTACATGATACATACTAATATATGATACTCCCTATTACAGCCAGCCTAACCTGCGGCTGCGGGCCCCTCTCTCCTCTCGCTACGCCGGCGATGAGCTGCTCGTCGGAACTCCCCTCCCCCTCGCCCAGACTCCGACCAACTCTCCACTCCCTCCCCTGAACCTCCTCCCCCCCACCTCCAAGCAGTCAGGCCTCCCGTCTCCACCCACCAATCATCGCCGCGCCATCTTGTCCAGCAACGCCTCTTCCGCCGTCGTGGCGCCACCCTGAAACCCCAAAGCCTCGGTGTCGTGATACCAAGGCCACGTTATCAGGGGCACACCACCACTACCCCGCCCCGAAATACCTGGGTGCCAGTGTCGCCACCATTGCGGCGGCGTCCCGAAACCCCTCGGTCTAAGGTAGTACAATTTCTGCCGCTCAGGGGTCACGGTCGTGGTGATGGGATTGAACGCCCGGAAGGAGTGCGCTGACAGGAGCAGGAAGACCGGCGAGATCACCTACCGCAACTTCTCCGGTTTCCCGCGAGGCCTTCAGGCCAGTGTGAAGCCGGGAAGCCACACCACGGCTGATGGCGCCAATGCCGGACCCGGCGACGGGCCGCAGTGCCCACCTCCATCGCCGGGCTCAACAAATCTGGCCCCAAGCTTGAGGTATACGCCTTCTAGCTGCGGCACAACTATCCATTCTTCGCCGCATCCTGCCTGCATGCCTACTTTTTTCCACCTGACATTTGGTTGAATCGGGGATGAGCCCGGACCGCTGAATTAATTCTACCGAGGGACTCAGAGGCAGTAGTATACAAATCCACCTTCGGAATGAGGTTATGAGCAAGTGCCAATTATCTGTGAACACTTCGCCTGAAAATGGAGTTGCTGGTTTTCTGATAAGTTTATGACAATCTTCATCTTTTGCTACTAAGAATTCCATAACCATGTTGATTCAACACGCCTCAACCACTGATTGTAGTTAAGACTAGTAATTTGCTACCAGAAGTTGTGGGCTAGCCTATTTAACTGCTACTAGTGTTCTGTCCTAGTCCAATCTGTCTTCTGTCAGTTTTCCTTTCGAGTATTTCATACCTTCTGCAGTCTTTACAGGGTTAACGCTCACTAATTAATTCTCTTTCTTCATCAAAATGGCAAAACTCCTGCCACTAATGGAAGAAAAAAAAGGTATCTGGATACAAAGCGGACAACGATCACTAGTCAAATCGTACTATATCCGTGCTTGCATCCATTTTGTAGAAGATCACGTAGACAACCAACCAATAATTTATGTCAAAAATACTTTGATGAGAATCCAAATGATTGCTATGTATATTATACAACAATATATCCTGAAAAACCTTATCTCAGTTCATTTAGTTTCAGAAATGCTAACTTGCCACTGGTATTTCAGGGTTTAGACAATCACTGAAGGGAAGCTCTGCTCCATCATTGCAGCAACCTGTCTTCATGAAGCTCCAAGGTATGTTGCAGTTTGCCTGCCTCTTGTGAAGCTTGGTCCAGGTGCCCATCAACTACTTGAACATATACAAGATATTGCGGTCAGAAATGCTAGCAATGAATGGTGATGTTCCATAGGATTTATCGGTAATATAAAAAATGTACTTGTGACAAAACCTGAAATGCTTAACATGTCTCTGTTTATTTTCTTGGATTCCAGGCTTCCAGCATGACAAATAATTGTTCTTGAATTAAGATGTTTGCGTAAATAAAGTCGTGCTTACATGTTGAATGTTGATTCCCTGCAATAGCTTGAAGTAGTCTTGGCATTGGGGGTATGTTGACTTCAAGAAGGCCTTCAAGACTTTGAACAACGTCACCCATTGTGGGTCGATCAAACTCGTCATCTTGAATACACCAGCATGCAATCTTCAAAGCTCTTTCCACCTGTTCCAAATGGGCATCGCCATGTAGATTGATGTCCACCAGACTCCCCACACCCCCCTCCAGTAGTTTGTTTGCAACTTGCACAGGGAAATAGACATAATCATCACCGGTTGTATACTGTCTACCTGAGTTCCTCTTCCCTGATACAATTTCCAACAAAACCATGCCATAGCTGTAGACATCAACTTTTGCTGTAATAACAGTTCCGCTAATCCATTCAGGTGCTAGATATCCAATTGTTCCTCTCATTGTAGTGAGAACTCGACTAAAATCCCTTCCGAGAAACTTTGCCATCCCGAAATCTGCTATTTTCGGAACAAATGACGCATCTAGAAGTATGTTCTCTGGCTTAATGTCGCAATGTATGATGCAATCCTGGCAACTATCATGCAAGTAGACCAGTCCTCTAGCAACTCCAAGAGCTATTTGATGCCTAATGCTCCATTTCAAAATTGTACCATTATTGTGAAATAAATGAGCATCAAGAGAACGATTTTGCATGTGTTCGTAGACAAGCAACCTACCGTCACCCTCAGTACAAAAGCCAATTAGATTAACTAGATTGATATGCTGAATGAAGCCAATTGATCTCACTTCAGCTCTGAATTGCTTCTCTCCTTGGCAAGCACCATCAAGCCTTTTAACTGCTATGGCAGTGGAGTCATCTAGAAACCCCTTGAATACAGAACCAAAACCACCTGCCCCTAGCTTCTCGGAGAAGTTTTTTGTTGCACGTTGCAAATCAACATATCTAAACGCAATAATGCCCCCACCACCTTGAAGGTTTTCCATTCTATGAGCAGACAACCTCTTGTTCCTCTTAATCATCAGTAGCAAGAAGAGTGACAATAAACCGCAGAAAGCAACACTTGCACCAATTGCTGTGCCGATGATTATCCGTCTTCTGTTGCTTTCCAACCTTTGTACCTCTCTGTTGGCTAGGCGCATGTAAAGAGTGGCTTTGTTAGTATTTGTAGTATCATCACATTGTTGCTGCTTCACATTAATAATTTCACCATTCCAAATAAAACATCCATTGACACCATAGGAATATGCAGTGCAAGTGCAGCTGCCCATGCAAACTTCGGTACATTTATCTTCACTTGTAGCATCTTCTGTGCTGTGTCCGTTATTGGGCAATCCAACACATGTGATAGGGTAGAACCTGTCTTCCTCACTTATGCTTTTGTTGATACCGCAATCTAATGGAGTATTTCTCACACAGCCGCCTGTTCGATCATCTAGCTCCCAGTCACTAGGTGATCTTATGGAGAATCCTTTCATACAGTTGCAGAATGGAATTGTATTATCATTACAAATTGTGAATGGTCCACAAACAGCAAATACATCACATTGAACTCTGGGTTGGGCATAGGTCATCACCCAGTCTTGTGAGCTCTCAAGCCAAAGGAAAGATTTTGTTTGACCTGAGACATCCAACAGATGATGGAAAATGATTGTCTCGTCTAGTAAGTTATACGTGAAGTACTTCTCTTGGTCATTGTCGACAAAT